CGGTCAACCAAGTGCATTACAAGAAACACAGAAATAGTTTCAGTCTTTAACATGTGTGTGTCGTATTTCCGGAAAATCACATACGTTTTCATTTAATTTTAAGAACGTGTTTCTTCTATATAGCTTTCGTATTTCTTAATAAGGTAAGCAATTGTATTTTAAAAGTTCATTCACCCTAAATGTGTATTTCTCTTCTGGCACTACATATACCGTTTTTGTGTAAGTATAACCTGGATGATTCTGTTGGAAATTTGTTGTCGCCGTCACATTCTTAAAGAAAGTAAAGACACTTATTGAGCATATCTAGTAATGTTTTAAAACTTGGCAGTAAAACAACTTAAAACTTAAAGAAAATGCAAGACGTTGCCTGTTATCTTGGCACAAAAATATTCAATAAAGTTTAAAAGAAGTCCCTATTTGATAACAGGATTTGAAGGAAATTTACGTTAACAAATGATGGAAGAATTGAGTTTTTCATATCAAGATATGGAATCTTTTTTTTTTTTCAATTTCATATTTGTTATTTATAAGGCGATTTGTGCTCACTTATGATAAAATCATACATTGTACAACATCATCTTGAACGTCAAAAATCAATAAATTGAATAGCTGGCAGTCATGAGATTATATTTACAATGTTAAATTAAATACGGAATTATATTGTAAGTGTACACGTACGACTGTAAAATATATATTGGACGAGACACTAGCCGAGTCTGATATAGGTTTTCTTAACATAATCAGTATTGTTTCTTACACAATGTATAATGGCCAGAGCTTCACGTGGTTCAAACGTTGAACAATTGTTAATATATGTAAAATTACAACGTGCATTTTGAATAATACAACGAAATTCGTGCGCAAAGGATTTTTAACGCATTTTTAATTTAATACAGGGCATACATTGTTGAAGTAAAAAACATAAAGACTACCTTATGTATACAAACACATACCCCTGGTTTCATTGTTTCGAAACGGTAGCTTTTGATGACTCCATTTCTCTCTAATATAGTCGGCATTTCCATGATATCTTCATTTTTGTAAAGTCTTCATCGGGATGTGGTTCTATAGAAAATTCGGAAACTTTGCCAGGTGCTAAAAATCAAACACAAGAATACGTAAAAAAAGTTCTATATCTTGATGCTATAATTAGCAACATAGGTTTACATAGCAATTCATATCTAAGTTTGGGCTTCTACTTTGCATATAGAAACATTTTCCGTTTCGTGGCTATGCCAAACTTTGCCCCGTAATCATAAAGATAAGTTATATCATAAAGTTTTTATATGATAAGGTCGATATTCAAGTCTATATATGTGACTAATATGAATAGTATTACAGCTATTATTTTATAATATGACCAGTATAAATTCTTTTCATTTGATTCATTTTCTGACAGTCGTCTGATAACTCCTTTTACGCAAATTATAGAATCTTAGACCTTAATATCTGAATGGCAAACACATTAATTATCCTCTTTATACCTAAAGTGTGTAAAAGTTTATTCGGATATAAAGATTCCAATTATCGTATTTTTCACATCTGCATCTGTTTTTAAATGAAACAAAATCATGTTTGTAGTCAGCCGATTAAAAATTTTATTCGCATTTTAAATACCTTACACGAGTAACTTCATGTAAAATGGTAAGACGGGCTTACATAAAAGCTCGAGCAAGGCTAGGAAAATATGCTAAAAATGTTTATTATGATAGACAACAATGAAGTATCTTATGCAACTGTTTCTAGGTGGGACGTATTAAAAAATTTTAAAAAAAAGGACGAGTCAAAAAATGCCTATAAAACTGGGAGAAAACGTTTCCATAGTTAAAATGGTCAGAAAAAATTTTATAAATCATGCTTTTCATTTACAAGATGCAGAAATTTAATAACAAAAATTTGCCAATATTGGAGCGATATCAAAAGAACCCGCCATACGATTTTGAAAAATTACCTGAAAGGTTGGGGGCGAAAAAACGGGGGTAAGGGTATTTTTTCCTTTAAAATGTGACAGGGGGAAAAGGGGCACAAAATTTTCTTTAAATATTTTCTTTAAAAAAAGTCAAAGAAATTTCCCGGGAAATTATTATGATTTTAAAACCCAAAGGGAAATTTTGGGTTTAAAAAACCCCTTTTTAAAAGGTTCTTCTGTTTACATAAGTATTCTAGATAATTCGTTTTAAGAATAAAAGAAAAACCCCTTTCAATAAGTTTTGTCCTTTGACTCGTAGGATAGGCATTTTCTGAAAAACAACGCTCCTGCACACAAACGTACTACTGTTATTGATGTTTTATTAAAGAAAACTTCCATCATATTCGGTACCTAGGCACCCTGTGGTGGCTTTTTCCCTCTTTTCTAGACTACAATTATATATTGCAGGTCATTGCTACAAGAGAAGAAATGCACTTGGGTTGGCCTTTTTTCAGTTATTGAAAGATAAACCTTGGATTAAACGTCAGAAACTTTGTATTGTTGTACAAGGAAATTATTGTTAACAAATTGTAAAATATTTGTTCTTCTGAAAAAAATTATTAATGATACTGCATTACATATTGATAAATCCTCGTAATTCAGACATTCTAGGATGATCAATTTGATATCAGTCCTGTATTCAAGGATTACCTGCAGGTGAAGTCCTGTACTCATTTGTCACTGCTGATTTACTGCTTCCAATTGATGTACTTGCCATCACAGCGACACTGTAATTCCAGTACTCTTGTAATCCGAATGCTTTGTATTCTCTCAAAGCAAAACCTGAACATTATTTAAATGTTTATGACAAGACATACAATTAAACACGAATACAGCGTATGGGAAAACTTTTGTATACTTGACATTATGTTCATTTTTATACTGGCAAGTTCAGTAGAATTAATTACATGTTTCAAAATAGTGTCTGTCTTAATGGTCAATGACCAGAAAATGGAACTGTAAATGTTAAAAATGAAATATAAATTTTGCCTAAAATATAAATGATCGCCTTACTGTGTTTATCAAATGAACGTTGCCAATACATAACCAATCAGACATGTCCGAGGGTCATTTAAGTTATAGATTATATATGTGAAGAAGAACTTTAAATTGACAATAATTATGGCGAATTGAAGTTATTTTGACATTTGTCTTCTCTCTCACTATTGACACTAGAATGGGCATAATGAAGCTGTTTTGCCTATAAGAGAAATTAATAGAAATATATTTACCAGTAGCAGTAAAGTTCTTTGACTCTGCAGGAGCATCTGCTGTTAGTATTATTACAAAGATTGTTTGTCCCGGTCTTGGTCCATTTATGTTCCATGTTATATCAAATGTTGTTGCAGTCATGCCTACCACTTTAACACCATATGGAGTCTGAGGAGCTGTTTAAAAAATAAACTGATTATTTTTGTACAGTATGCGAGCTATTCTGGTTTTGCTTGTAGTATGTTAAATCAGATTTACAGTTAAGAAATATTATTCATTACATAATAAATCCTTTTTGTATTTCGTTTATACAGAATTTATTTTTAGTTCGATTGTATAGGAAGCTTAGCTTAAAGCTTATAGACACACTTTCAAATCCGTTCATGGAAGCAACCATAACTGAGCATTGAGTGTAAAGATTCTTGATCGGGCAACTCTTTCGCACACAGTTCACCGAATTCTTAATATATGGAAAAAAAAGATTTGCAATATAATATGCATTTTCTGACAATTTTTATGCATCGAAATGTTTCTTGTAACAAGGACAAGTGTCTTGTTCTGTTATTACGTAAGTTTTATCACCAGAACTATCAGCAATTTCTTTCCGCTGATTTGGTGTAAAGTCAGGCAGTCAACCTTTCATTATAAAGGAGACATACCTTCTTCTTTTGTTCTTTGCGTCATTGTGGCAGGATGACCTCTCCCTTCATTATTTATTGCTGTAACAGTCACTGTGTAGTTAGTGTCTGGATTAAGGCTTGCATTATAAGACAACTGACTTGCTAACTGAGCTAAACTTAGAGTGAAATCAGGCTGCTTATTCTGATCGCATACTCCTGAAAGTTTAGAAACCTAAAATGGAAAAAGAGGTTGTAAAGCATAGATTTGTTTAGATGTTTGTTATATTTACAATACATTATCTATCACGCCGGCAAACAGTCGCTCCACTCCAAACTGTGTTGTACGGAAAAAGTTAAATGAAATGAATGGAATTGTGCAATTGACATACATTCATAACATAGGACACAGATTAACTGAGAGTTGTAAGATCCTGTTTTAAGCTTTGATCACCAAGTGTACCCAATCTTACCCCAAAAATATTGTTTTATCATGGCAAACACTTTCGCCGAGTATTTAGTTCAGAAACTCAAAAATAACATTTATTTAGTTCAGAAACTCAAAAATAACAAACATATTATAAGTCAAATTAAAATGACTTTTTATATGTGATGAAGGCTTTGAGGCTGAAGTTGGTTCAATTTTGATTTAATATACTTGGCAGGGCACACTTAAAAATATTATTATCCACATGTCTAAAATACCTTGCATATTGACATAATTATGCTTATTTTGCCAATTTGATACGATGACAAAAGAACAATTTGTGGATTATAAATGTTTTGTCTAACTTTGCAACTTTCAAGGGTCATAACTTTAGAAAGATTTAAATAGGCCGCTTAAAGACCAAAGACATATGTGATGGATGCTCACTGATCATACACGTGTGTCTATATTTTACTTTTAAAATATATAGGAATATGCAAAATTTTATCTTATAGAATCATAATTAAATCTCATTAGAAGACAACCCAAGTCTGTTCTTAGCAAATGAGAAAAAACATCAGATTATGGATATAGTCTGTATGAGTAACAGTATAACAAGAGCTCTGCTGATGCGGAGCAACATTAACCCAGTGGCAATTTCAAAAGAAGGCATCACAGAGAAAAATAATTATTTTATAATTAAGATAGGTAGCAAATATTATTTTGTTGTAAATATCACGAGTGATGACTTTTTCTATCAAATGTAAAAATCTTATATACAGTCTTATGTTTTGGATAACAGTAATAGCATATTTTCATATTTCGTTTGCACTGAAAAGGGCAAAGAAAATTAAAGTAAATTTTCATACAACATACTTAAATGCCAAGTATAAACACAATCATTAAAATTCAGCAAAAAATATCTTGCAACAATCAGCAATTTACGGAAAATTTGACTACAAAGGGGCTTAACCCTATCATTCATAGTTGATTGCAGCTAAAATATGATTAGCATAGTAAAATATAATCACATAGACCTGTGATATATCATACTGCCATGCAAAATATAAACACAATAATTGAAACCCTTTAAAAGTTATGCAAGAGAAACCAAAATTTTACCAGAAAATTCAGTTATTGAGAGTCACTGCAGGGCGGAGGAAGGCTCAACTTTTTTATATTTTTTTTCTCAAAGCAAACAATTAAAAGGTATAAATAAATCTTTAGAAAGATGTCACTTGGTCAAAATCTAGGAAAGGTGATAACAAAGTTTAATTTAACATTTTAAACTGTTTACATGGTCCAAATTTCAAAGCAGTACATCAAAAAAAAAAAAAGAAAGTAGGTTACTAGGTTAAAATCTGGGTCACCTGATATCACAGTTCAATTTGACATTTAAAACAGTACACATGGTTCAAATTCTATAGCTGTACATTAAGGACAAGAAAAAGGGAGACTAGGTCCAGCTGATATCAAAGTTCAATTCTACACCTAAAACTGTGCAATTTGTCCAAATTCCATTGTTGTATATCAAAAACCGAGAATGTAGGTCTTTTGGTCAATATCTGAGTCATCTGGTATCAAAGTTCAATTTTACATCTAAAGCTGTGCACAGTCGAAATTTCATACTAGCTATACATCAAAGAAAAAGAAATGAGGCCGCTCGATCAAAATCTAGGTCACCTGATTTCAAAGTTCAATTTTACATCTTTAAATAAGTGACTTTTACTATTTTGATCTTGATGGTCACTTTTGAATCATTTAATATTTTTGTTCTGTCCAAGCATAAATCAAATCTAAACAAAACCAACAACAACAAACAAACAAAAAAGGACAATTTTACCATAATTCAATTATTTGATCTTGACGCTCAAGGTCATTTATAGCTCAAAGTCAAGGTCAGTTCAACCTTTAAGATCATTTTGTCCAAAAGGTTGCTTTGTTCAAATATGAAGATAATCAATTGATGAAGTACCAAGTCAATTATAGCAAAAATAAGGAAAAGCTCAATAACTATAGGTCGATAATGTCAATTAACATACATGAAGGTCTTATTATGTAGAATGTTGTGTCTTACTATGAAGTAAATCCATTCATTAATAACAAAGTCAGATAGCCAGTTAAAGCAAAAAAAATAGTTAAATAAATAAGAAAAAAAGACCGTCAACGTCATTTCGTGAAGGCAAAGGTATATCTGGTTAACTTAAAGATCTATCCTAGAAAATTGTTATGTTCACGTTTGAAGACAATCCATTCAAAAATAACAAAGTTATAGCCACTTATAGAAAAAATCAGCAAAAAATTTTAAACATTTAACCATAAAGATCAAGTTCATTTACAAATGAAGATCAAGATTCTTGTCCTAAGTGTTGTTGTGGCCAGGTATGAAGACAATACACCAAGAACCTAAAACTGCATGCCTCCAGATGATTAAAATATTTTTATAAAATCAAACCTGAGTAAAATGTAATATGATTTAAGAAAAAGTAAAAAGATTCAAGATTTGAATAATAATTTACATGTTTTGTGCGATTAATGATTGATTTTTCAGTATGTATAACAACATTTCTTCTGCGTTACTAACGCATTAAAGGTTTTGAAAAAAAATATTTTGACCACATTTTGGTAATTTACATGGGTTATGAATAATGTTTGTAATGTGTAAAGTGCTTCCTTTTGGTAACTGTACAAAAATCTCTTGTAAATATTTTTTCAAAATGTTCTTGAATCTGGAGGCGTGCTATGTTATGATTAACGTTTAAGTTTGCGAAAGGCAACAGCCAACATGACTGTTACAAATTTCCTCTATTTTTTTCTTTGGCAAAAGACGAGCTAACATGTGTAAAAATTACCTTACAGAACCCCAGACAATACAAGGAAACATTGCAGTTTTGCAAGAGGGGATTTCTACGACAGGTCTTCTTTAAAGTGACATTATGCACAAGTTTTTGCTGTCAGTTTGAGGTAAATTAGGTGTATATATCAAAAGATTGACTGTTTTCTAGCGACTGAACAATAATTGTTAATTACTAATGTTTAGGATAAAATATAAAAACTGTCTAAAATGTAAAAGAACTGCCCCACTCTTTATTAATTGAGCATAACCGACAATTTTTGACGGATATTCATAGATATTTATCTAGGTCATGATGTTATTGATTACACCGGGGAAAGTTTATTATAAGATTGAAAACAAATATAACGAAATGAAAGGTTATTTTAATTTTACCTTGACACTCACTATTTACTCTAGGATGAGCATAATGCCATTTTAGAATATATTTGTATGTTAACTACGCGCAGCAATTTTTGACCCAAGGACATAATTGTTTAAACTTCTTTACTAGTTCCCTGGAGAGTGCTTCATGCAAAACATCTAAACTAAAGGCATTGTAGAGATAACTATATGCTGTGTCAAGGTTTGAAGAAAATCTTTCAGGAGTTACGTTTTGGACAAAGGTTTCAAAATAATTCTAATTAAGGTGAATAACTCTGAAATTGGCGGGGGAATGACCATAATAAAAAAACTATGAAAAGGACGACCAAAATATTATTCCTGTGAAATTAAGTCAAAGTGTATCATCTGGTTAAGTAGAAGATAATATGTTTAAAGATATTGTGGATGAAAAAGCACAACTGAAAACGAACAACAGACTATGCTCGATGACAAACAAGATTGATCACAAAGTTAACCACTGAACATCTTTGCTCAAGAAGGCTATCATGAAAATACTGGTAAATACTAGAAAGGAACTGAAATGTGCTTCTATAAGTAAAAGCTCTGGAATGTGTCATGGCAATGCTTGTTTTATTAAGAAGAGGACTACAAACCAATGGTATTAGCAAAAATGTCTAATTTCTGAACGCTTTATTACAGCCACAATCTATGTCTGAGGACTGGGCCATTGAAAGTGCTCTTCAATTAAAATGCAAAAGACATTTACAAATTTCAAGTTAAAACCTTTGAAGTTGTTTTAAGTTGTTGCACACAAAACTTAAACTAAGAATTTTCTCCATAACTTGCCATAATTGTGTCAAAATATATGTCAAGATTTATGGGTATTGGCAAGTGTCCTCAAATAATGGGCACACAGACATGTTTTATGTTTTAAAGTAAATGCCTTCAATAGTTTTCAGGAATGATGTTGTATGCAAAACTTTTACCAAAGGACTATATTTGGTCAAAACACATGTCACAACAATCGCTCACCAGAAACAACTGTTTTTCAGTAATAAAAAATAATTTTTCAAATCAACTTGTGGAAAGACAAATCCAGCTCAAATTCAAATTGCCTATCTAGTTTACCGAAATTGGTAAATTGATTGTTTGTTCGTCATTGTAAAAATGATAGGA